GGTCGGCATGCAGCTGGACCTGCAGCAGCCAGCACCTGTTGACCTCGGCGAGCTGGGGGAAGCTGCGCAGCGCCGCCAGCTGGCGCAGCTCCAGGAGGCGCTGGCGAAGGGCGGCGCCAGCCGGCTGGAGCACTATGTGCACAACGTGGTGGGCGCCCTCAACCTGGCGCCCGCCATGTTTGGGCAGCGCGAGACCTACCTGGATGCAGTACGGCGTCGGCAGGACCGCGAGGCGCTGGCGCAGCTGCGCACCGGGTCGCATTGGGGCGCGGAAGAGACCGGCCGCTGGACGCGGCGCCCCCGAGAGCAGCGAGTCTGCCCCCACTGCCACGACGGCATTGAAGATGCCCCCCACATGCTGCTCACCTGCCCCCTTTACGCCCCGCTGCGCCTCAACTTTCCTGACCTGTTTGCTGAGCCCCATTCTCCCCACCGCTTCCTCCGCCAGAAACCGTGCCGCCTCGCCGCCTTTGCTGTGAAGCGCTTGGCGGTTGACCTGGCGCAGCATTCGGTGCAGAACTGCATGAACTTACTGGCAGCCCGCAAGAATGCCGGTGGCGCCCCAACCACAGCCCGGTGACCCTCCTCCGCCACCTCCCCAGCCACCGCAAGGCGGACGCCCGCAGGCAGGACCCGGCGCACATTCACAGACACTTGCCCGGTGGAGGCGGCGGCACGACGATGGACCAGCAGGCGCAGTAGGCAGACGCACTCGGCGCAGGCAGAACGATGACGCAGCAGATCGCCCACCGACTCGGTGTGGCCAATGGCAGGCACCACAGGCAGGCGAAGCGCCGCGCGGGCGCGGCGGCAGCGGACGCGATGCCGAGGTTGGGGTGGGGAGGGGGGGCGGAGGGGCAGGGGGCAGCCACGGCGGCGCAAGCAGCGGATGCAGCGGCGGCGCCGGCGCGGGTGGCGGGGAGGCAGGCAGTGGCGGCCGAGAGGCGGCGGCTGATCGATCCAGGCTGACCTGCACCCTTGTTCCCCCTCATTTTTTTCACACCGGAGCCAGGGGCTTGAAACCCCGTTTCCTCCCAGTACGGCCGAAGTACAAATCACGCGTCCCGCGTATTCTCTCTTCTAGGGCAACCCTCTTTTCTCTTCTATCTAAAGGGATAGATCCGACCCATCCAGTTGCAGGGGCAGGTTTTAGCTTGCCGTTCGTCCGGCCTCCATCTCCCTGAGGGGGCTGAGCTGGGTTGAGCAGCGTGTCAACAACAGCATGGTGAGTGCGGTCAGCTGGGAATGGCGGCTGCCGACGCTGCCAAGGACGGGCCGCGGCCTTGCATTGTAGCTGCGCTTGGTCAGGGTAGGACGGCGGGAGGCCTGCTAGTTTGGGGAAACGCCGTGTGGGTGAGCCGTATGCACAGCAGCGATGGGCCGTGGGCGCCTCCGCGCCACACACAAGGGTCCCGGGACCATTGCGCCGCCGGGACGCCGCGGGACGCCTCTGCCTTTCACTTGCTTGTGTGGGCTTAAAGTCTGGTAAAGCAAGAACTAGCTTG